TCTGGTAGACTGATTTAAAAAAGGCAGCTACCCTTTGAAAATAACTACTTCCACATGAAAATCCTTTTTTCATTATTATGATGTATAATAACACAACACAGGCAATATCACTATTGGAACTTCATAATTGATCGAAATCCAGAATTGAGTTCGATAAAAATTGAGGTTACATCATTTTGTATGTAAATAGGCTGATAAGTGAATAAGTGACACAGAGGCAGTCTTTCTAAAAAAATATATTTTGCTCCATAGAAAATATTCCACATTCAATATCAAAACGATGTGACTAATATTTAGCGGACCAATGAAATATATTAGGATACTTTGAAAGCTTTGTCCGTTTTTATGAGTCTACTTAAAAAATGTAATATCTCAGTGAATACCTATTCAATTCAATCAAAATAAGAGTCATTTGTGAACCTAACACAAATCAGTCAATCCCTTCTGCATTGAAATTGTGTGCTCGGGATTAGATAAAGTTGACGAAGGCCATTTTTGCCTGGTACTGATCAGCAAAGATTCTACCGGTGAGAAAGTTATCGAAGTGCTTAAAAAATGGTAGTCGGTTGACGAGCGGTCTGCAGAGTATGGTAGATGAGGCAGAACTCTGACGCTCAATTCGCTTAATTTAGCCGCTGACCACCATACAGTAACCATGGTCTCTTTTGGTGGGTTTTCGGATTTGGGAAGTGCCTGTATGGCTCTTCGGTGTCCAACTACTGTCCTGAATGTCTTCTGTTGTCGTGGAGGTTCCACTTTTCATCACACTTGACGATCATATCCGAAAAAGGATAGTTTTGGTTGCGCAAAAGCAAAGAAGAACAGACCTCGAATAGTGGCAATTTCTGTTCAAATTGTGGAGCATCCAATTTTTGAGCGATTTGACCTTTCTAATACGATTTGAACCATCGAAAACCGCATGGGAGCTGATGCCCAGTTCTTCCCCCATCCCACGCACCGTTTGTGATGGGTTAGTCTCCACCATAATCTTCAAATTTTCGTCCTGGATTACTGTAGGTCGACCAATTCGGGACTCACCTTCGAGGCTGAAATCTCTGATACGAGATTAAAGCGGCCTACACACGTTACGATTTTTCGTACTGCATGTTGAACTGCAAATTGTAAAGAAAATCGTACGGCATGCAATACAGCCATGTTTCATCCACACCTTACAACAGCTCGTACTGCCGAGGTTTAGATTTCAATCTTTCTGAAGGAAGTTGTTATATTGTTTTTTCTTTTTCGTTACTTCTTTAGATTCGTTTAGGAACAACTCTTTGAATTTTGCAAATAAAATATCGTAACTTGAATTT